ATTGAGTAATGATTATGTTGAACGCTGAACTAAAATCAACAAACAGCCTTTACACATGAGTATTCTCCTCCTCCAGGTGCACCAAGCTAAGATGAAGCACATAGGAAAGTGCATCATCTATAGAGCAGTTCTTCAAATAAGCAAACTGTAATGAGTCAAATTTATTTATTTATTTATTTATTTGTCAATCGCTTACAAGATAATAGGTATAAGTATAAACATAATTATGAACACATGAAATGGATACATATAAGAAAAATAAAAAGAAACAGTAGGACAGGGACGGTAGGCACGTTGGTGCACTTATGCACGCCACCTACAGACCTCTTAGGAAAGGGGTGAGGTCAATAGTAGACAGTCTAAGGTTAAAGTTTTGGGGGTTTGCGGAAGAAGCCACAGAGTCAGGTAGAGTATTCCAGACATTGACCACTCTGTTGCTGAAGTCGTATTTCCTGCAATCAAGTTTGGTGCGGTTTACCTTGAGTTTGTATCTATTGTGTGCTCTTGTATTGTTATGGTTGAAAGCTGAAGTATTCATTGACAGGTAGGACATTGCAATGTATGATTTTATATACTATACTTAGATGTGGGGGGAGGCATGAAACCATTATAGTTCTTTACTAATGTCTCAATATCTTAGTGGATAGATCACCATGAAATTTGCTGTTTATAAAGTACACCAAGAAACCTTAGGTGATCAAAGAAAGATATGAATAAGTTGTGATCAGCTCTTTCACATGGGTTTTGGTAGAAAACAAATCAGTGTAGTTAACTAGTATCTTACCAGGAATCCTAGTGGTGCAGCAGTTAGAATGCAATATTGCAGGCAAACTCTGCCCACAGCTTGGAGTTCTATTTTGATAGAGTTTAAGATTGACTCGGTTTTCCAACCTTCTGATGTCAGTAAGATGAGGACCCAGATTGTTGGGGACAATAAACTGACAATGTAAACTGCCCAAAGAGTGCTGTTAAAGGTGGTATAGAAATCTAAGTGCTATTTCTATAGCTATCTCAAATGCATGCTACAGTAAACAATGTTCTCTACAGTGCTGCTGACATTTGTGTTTGTAGATGTTACAGAATGGGCATGATTATTATTTTTTTGAGTCTTTCATATTACACCAATCAACTGTACAGTTAGCTGATGTTTCGTCGCGTTTCTTTCTTCTTATGTACGTCTTTAAAACAAAGTGATCGTCAATGTCTGTGTTTCTTCCTCAAATAAGCAAACAAAGCAAATGCAACAACAGAAAAATCATCCATGATTTTAATTGGAAATTTGATGAATGAAAAAACTGGCACAAAATGTAATTGGAGAAATGAACTAAGTTACCCTCTACTCTCTTGCCATTGTACTGTTTAGAGCTTTAGATTGCTGCTGCTGCTTCTTCTTCTTCTTTTTTTTTTTTTGGCCTTTTCAAACATCCCAAATCAAAGTGGCTCCAGTGGTAAACACAGGCTTATTTTAACATTCTTGTAGCATGTTATTTGCTCCATGGGATTAATCCCAAATGGCTAATGCAGCAATGTTAATCAGTCAAAATAGACTATGCCTTTATGGAAGAGCAATACAGGTCTTTTCCTGTATACCAGGGGTCTTCAAACCTGACAGCTTTAAGACTTGTGGATTTCAACTCCCAGAATTCCTCATCCAGTCATGTTAGCTCAGGAATTCTGGGAGTTGAAGTCCGCAAGTCTTAAACTTGCCAAGTTTGAAGACCCTTGCTTTACACTCTTCCCAAATTTGATAGTTAATGTTTATGCATTGGTACTACCTATTAAATTTGGTGAAATCAGTTGCAGCTAAACACCAAAGACAAATTGCATTACATCTGTTGTTCTGATATTGTGACTTAATTTGGGGCTGATGTGGTTTTACTTTCTTCAAATTAAGCAAATTCCCAATTAAAAAAATTGTTTTAATAGCATACGCTATTAGTCCTTATTCTTGCAAAAGGAAACTTTAAAAAGCAAATACATTGAGAAGCAAACAAGGAAAGGCAGGTAGAGAATGGCTTATGGAATTCCTTAAACAAAATCTCCATTTAAGTTCATATGATCAGGAGGACAGAGGGGTTAAGAAAAAAGCAGTCAACAATATTCTATGCTGCTTCTGAACTGTTTCTTCCATAGGGATGTAATCGAGAATTTTTCCCAGATTTTTTTTCTTTGCAGCCCTTGCTTATTTTTGAAATTATTCTTTTTCCAGCTTTCCTAACCATAGCAAATTTAATTCCCTTCCATTTTAGTTTGGGGAGTGTTCAAAGAATAGGATGATTACAGCGGTGGGATTCTACCAGTTCGCACCTATTCACTAGATTCTAAGTAGTTCAGAGAACCGGTTGTTAGAAGAAATTACTGGCCTAATCCTATAAGGCAGGAAGGAAACATTTTGGTGTTACTTACAGAAACTGCCTCTCCATTGACCCTTATTACATTCTTGGCAGGACTAGATTTCCTGTCTCAGGAACTTCTCTGGAGTTTTTTTTCCCCCTCCTTTGCTGGTACTTTGCTTGTGTGGAGTGACCATTTAAAGTTACAATGGCACTGAAAAAAGTGACTTATGACCATTTTTCACACTTACTACTGTTGCACCATCCCCACAGTCATGAGAGGCCAGGCAAGGAGATGCGTGCCTCGATGTGAGTGATATTGAGCTGGCCACACCCAGCCAATAACATGACCACCAAACCATGTTTATTTTTTTTTATTTTATTTGGTTTGTCAATTGCTTACAAGGTAATAGGTATAAGTAAAAACATAGTTATGAATACATGGATACATATAAGAAAAATAAAAGAAACAATAGGACAGGGATGGTAGGCAGGTTGGTGCGCTTATGCACGCCCCCTACAGACCTCTTAGGAAAGGGGTGAGGTCAATAGTAGAAAGTCTAAGGTTAAAGTTTTTGGGGTTTGGGGAAGAAACCACAGAGTCAGGTAGAGTGTTCCAGACATTGACCACTCTGTTGCTGAAGTCGTATTTCCTGCAATCAAGTTTGGTGCGATTAACCTTGAGTTTGTATCTATTGTTTGCTCTTGTATTGTTATGGTTGAAGCTGAAGTATTCATTGACAGGTAGGACATTGCAATGTATGATTTTATATACTATATTTAGATCGGACTAAAAGTGGCATAGTTCTTGGTTTTCTAGGTCTAGAATTTCAAGTCTGGTGGCATAAGGTATTCTGCAACGAGTAGAGGAATGGAGAACTCTTCTTGTGAAATATTTCTGGACTTTCTCAACTGTGTTAATATCAGATACGTAATGTGCATTCCAGACTGATGAGCTGTATTTGAGTATTGGTCTAGCAAATGTTTTGTATGCTCTAGTTAGTAGTGTAAAATATTACCAGAGAAAAAGCTACGTAAGATTAGGTTAACAACTTGTAATGCCTTTTTGGCTATGTAGTTACAGTGGGCTCTAGCACTTAGATCTTTAGAGATGAGTACTCCAAGGTCCTTTACAGAGTTTGGATCATCAACAATATCTTGACTATTCAGCCTGTATTTTATTTTCTGATTTTTTTTGCCAATATGTAAGACAGAGCATTTATTTGTTGAGATTTGAAGTTGCCATTTGTTTGACTATTCTGATACATAGTCAAGGTCTTTTTGAAGGGTAGCAGTATTGTCTGTGGTGTTGAATAGCTTTATATCATCAGCGAAGAGAACACAGTTGCTCTTGATATGATCACAGAGGTCATTTATGTACAGTATGAAGAGAGTTGGTCCTAGAACACTGCCTTGGGGGACACCACTGTTGACAGGTACAGAATTTGATAGGACGCTCCCAATTTTGACCATTTGTTGTCTGTTTGACAGGAATGCTTCTATCCAGTTATGTAGGTGTCCAGAGATACCATAAGATTTTAGTTTTAGGAGTAGGTTGTCGTGTACCACTGAATCAAAGGCTTTACAGAAGTCTATGTAGATTGCATCTATTGCTTTGCCCTGATCGAGTTGTGTAGTCCATATGTTTTTACAGTGTAAGAGTTGCAGATTTCAGGATAGTTTTTTTCTGAAACCAAATTGTTTATTAGAGAGTAGGTTGTTTGTCTCTAAGTGGAGGATAATGGATTGGTTAATAATTGATTCCATGACTTTACAGGTGACATTTACATGTCCACCCAGTCACATGACCACCAAAACACATCCACCACCTAAGCCACACCCACAGAACTAGTTGTTAAAAAATTTGAATTCCATACATGGATAGATGCCCCTTCCACTAATTTTCAACATTTAACTGGATTGGAAAAAATAAAAAGAACTGGGTAAAACATGCACATGCACAGAAATTGTGGAAAGACAAAGTTAAATTCAACATTTTGAAATGGTATTCTTTTTTTTAAATCAAATTTTATTGTACTTTTCCACAATTACAAATCTCTTGTACATTCTTTACAACACTCTGACGTCAACAATTTCACATATATCTATATCTATATCTATATCTATATCTATATCTATATCTATAT